TATTTTGATTTGTCATTCCATGCTGCCTTTTGGAATCTTCTGTTCAGCTCTTTCGTGATGAAGATGAGGAAAAGATTATTTCCCTGGAGGGGAGGAGGAAGGGTATATACACAAGTGTAAAGAAGAAACAACAACAAAATGATACTGATCTGATATTACCAACTGATCCTGAACCAAAAAACCCAAACTCACTGCCACAGTGGATTCGGCCTCCCAGCCATCCTATAGGGCAGAGCAGAACGGCCTCAGAGGCTTGCCAAGAATCAAAGCCAACTTTCACACATTTCTCCCAGAACAGCTACGAGGTCCAAACTACTGACCTTTCTGTTAGCATTTGAGTACTTTAACCACTGCACAGCTAGTGTTTCCTCAGCGAGCCCTTGTTGTTATGTGCCATCGAGTCACTTGCGACTCATAGCAACCCTATGTACCAGAGCCCTAGACGCCGTTCTATCCTGTGCCAACCTCGCCATCTCAAACACACTCATTCCCACCAGTCCACTCACAGAATCGATCCATCTCATCAAGCGCCTTCCTCTCTGCGCTGTCCCTCCACTCTCCCAAACATGATGTCCCTGTCTAAGGACAAGTCCCTCCTTGCAACATGTCCAAAGTATGTCAGACGAAGCTTCAGAATCCTTGACTCCAAGGAGCACTCTGGCTTCACTCTCTCCAGGACAAACCTGTTTGTTCTCCTAGCAGTCCATGGTATACTCAACACTCTTCTCCAGCACCACAGTTCAAAGGCATCAATTCTCTTTCTATCATCCCTATTCACTGCCAACTCTCTGATGCATAGCACATAACTGCGAAGACTATTTTCTGGATCAGGTGCACCTTAGTCTCCAGCCTGATGTCGTTGCTCTTCAGTACTCTTGAGAGCCTTAGTACCCCTTACATCTGAATTTTGAATATTCTCTAATCCACCAAATTGCTGATATTCAAATGAAGCGGGAGGAAGTGCCCCAACCTGCAATACAAACAGCACTACTGAAGAAGAGCTTCAAAAGTATGGGCACTATCCTTTTGTACTTAATCAGCACATGGAGGGGCGGTGAATACCCAGAGCTTTGACTTAACTTGCTGCCTGTCCTACAAAGTAATTAGGCATAACCATCAGCCAGTAACCATCCTGCAGAGCAATGATCAAATCCATTTCTTTATCTATCACCAAGCACTGCTTCCACAATTCAGGTGCCAGTGAGTTAACTATAACTCATAGATATTTCACGAACAATGGATCTAAACCTTATCCTATTCTGTGCCATCTTGATCATCTGCTATATTTGAACCCATTGTTACCGTGTCAATTCATCTTGGTGAGGGTCTTCCTCTCTTTTGCTAACCCTCCACCTTTCCAAGCTTGATGTGCTTTTCCAAGAACTGACATGCCCAAAATATGCACGCCAACCATTTTTTCCTCTAAGGAGCACCTTAGCTGCACTTTCTCCAAGATCATATTTGTTATCTTGGTAGCCTATGGGATATTCAGTATTCTTAACCAAAACCACAACCCAAAGGTTTCAATTCTTCTACTGTCATCCTTAGTTACTGTCCAACTTTCAGATGAATAATAAAAAAAGATCACAGCTTGAATCAAATGCACCTTACCCTTTAAATTTATATCAATGCTCCTTAATACTTCTGAGAGGTTCATGACAGCAGATTCACCCAATGCAATACATCTTTTTCCTTCTTGACTGCTGGTGCCAAGGAAATTGACTGTGGGTCCAAGCAACATGAAATATTTGACAATTTCTATCTCTTCTCCATCTGTCATGATGTTGCCTGTTGGCCCACTTTTTCTTCTGTATGATGAGATGAAATACTAGGCTGTAGTCTTTGATGTTATGCAACAAATGGTTCAAGTCCTCTTCCCTTTTAGCAGGCAAAGTTGTGCTATCTGTGTAACACAGGTTGTTAATGAGTCTTCCTTTGATCCTGAAACCACCCTTTTCTTCATAAATTCCAACCTTTCAAATGATTTGCTCAACATACAAAATGAATAGGAATGAAGAAGGATGCATTCCTGATGCACACCTTTCCTGATTTTAGACAATGCAGTCTGATCTTGCTCAGTTTGAATAGCAACTTCTTGGTGGATACTATGGGCAAAGTCTTGAAAGATCCTGGATGCATCAAATGAATATGGCAGGAATACACAGGTCACTGTACCAAAGAACTGGCTGGCACAGAATCATTTCAGGAAGCAGCATATGATCACGAACCAATGGTGATGACGGAAGTTCAAGCTGCACTGAAGGCATCGGCAAAAAATAAGTCCTCAGAAATTGATGGGATACCAACTGAAGTGTTTCAATAAACAGATGCAGCCCTGGATGTGCTCATCAGTCTGTACCAACAAATCTGATGAAAGCAATCTGATGAACTGACTAGCAGAGAGCCATTATGATCCCCTTTAAAAAAA